TATTGTTTATGATTAGATCGTATTATTTGGTTAAATGAGGTTTTAAATGACTGTATTAACGTAACGGGAAACAAATTGTAAACAAAACACGACCTCTACATAAACCGTACAGAACTAATAATAAAATTGTCTTCAGCTGTTCCATTAGGATGAGAAATCTACTAAGGGAGTATGTTTTATCTATGGTTTAAGGATTAAAATTTAAGTGAAAAGAGATATAGCCGGGATAGTATTCTGGTTAAAAACATTATGTAGGTGGCTTCACAGTGAGCAGGCCAAAGCTCCTGGTGGATGGACAGTTAATATTGTAAATGAAGAAGTTTTCCCTTAGTTTAACTTGAGTAGTCAGATATGTTTAGTTAAATTTGGTGATTATATAAATATATGCATTTAATAAAAATACATTTAATTTGCAAACTATATCCGTAAAGTTTTTTTTATTATTTTGTGTCTTATAATTTAAACATATTGGTTTTAAATTGTATCAATCAATATGATGGTACCTGGTTTTAGCCCTTATTGTTTTACAATGTGAAAAATGGAATCTAATTAAGCCTTAGGTCTTATATGTATTTGAAAAAAAAAAAAACTATATCCTCATTGTAAATGTTCCAAACAAGAGTTACAGTATACTTGGGTGTAATAATGTTCTTTTAATACAGTTTTTTTTAAAGTAGTTTGGTTGTTAGTATTTATTTTATGTTGAAGTAAACATATTCTAATGAATAAGTTGTATATTTATTATCAAACCCTTATGCTCCAAAGCACAACAGAATAAAAATACAAAAAAGGCATTCCAACCTTCTCCAAAATTTTCCCTATACCAAGTAGGGCTCTTAATCCTATTATTTACCTTTAGGTTATTAAATACCTTGAAATCCCAGGGTTAGTGCCTTGTAGTCCTGGGATTATTGTTTTTTATCGGACGTATAGTTTCTATTGAATATTTGTTTTCTTGAGGAGTTTTGCTTGACATTGAAAGTTAATAACGCTTCTGATATGACAAACACAACACAACAATCAGTGATTCAATTATATTCTTTATACTAATGTAAGTTTAATAGGTACTTTGGTATTATCTGGAGGCCACCTAATGCAGCGCGCTTCGGCGGTTATGTTAGGTTGGGTTATCATCAATGGAAAGAAAATACTTTAATTGACTTAATATCCATATTTGACATGATTACAATTAGCGGCCTTTGAGTTTTGCCTTCCAGAAGGCAGCGATGTCGGCGAGAATTGAATGCGTCGCTACCGCAAGCTGCCACACCAGTGTACAGGCTGTGAAAGGTGATGAGCGCACTCCGGTCAACAACCTTACTGACCCACTTGGAGGGGATTTGGTGAGCGAAAGTATGACTCATCTGGTATTGTTTGATTCATAATGAAACGAGGAAAATCCTACAAACATATGATAACCGAACCTAACATAACCGCCACAGCACGCTGTATAAGGGTGGCCTCCCGATAATACCAAAGTACCGTTTAATGTTTACATACACACCGATTGCATTATTAAGAGGTTTAGGCTATATAGGGCTCTGAATCCCGGGCCTTCAATCCAATCTCCAGATTTCAGGATTCGTCTTAGCCGATAAACAACGAGTCCAAAAGTAAAGCCTAAAGTAAATCCAAATCGTCTAAAAACTGAAACATATATTTACATTCGTTCTCTTATTAAGTTTATGAAAATTAAATTTTCCAATCAAAATAGATCATTACTTATACTATTTTATATTTATCGTCCTAAAAATAAAGAGTATATGTTTCAAATGTTATTGGACATATTTTTATTTATTTCCCGTAAGTAAAAGTCCTCAAATTCACAAAAAATTAATAAAAACATATATTTTGCAATCCCGTTAATCCCGGGATTAGAAGACACCAATCCCGGGATTTCTAGGTATCAAAATTCGGCCGGGATTCGGGATCCCTGGATTGAGACCCCTAGTTATATAACATTTTATCTTTCTCCGTAATTCATTCAAGAATAGTGTACTGATAATTATTTTACAGTCTAAAGCCTACTTCGTATACGCATGACTAGATATTATTCGTCCCTTAATCTTAAATTGTTTTATTTCTGTAACGATAAAATCTTTACCGCTGCGCCCAAGCAAGTATAGAGTGAAAAGTGACATTTACATGAGAGTGTTAGCTTTTGTTCGTATTTCAATTTGTATTTGTAAGTTCCATGTAGTAATATTTTTAACTTGAACGATTTTGATATCATAAGTGTGCTATGTAAAATTTGTTATGGGTGGTTAAAAATATCAAGGGGCTCAGCAAAGGGCACAATTATTTTAAATGGTTAAAAAGCAAACATCCTAAAGTTATAGAACTCCAGGATTGATTCTGGAATTGGCTTTGGAGAAATCCTGGTGTATAAAATCTCGGAATTGAGACCCCCCTTGCCAAGTCAACGTGCAGCATTCTCTAGGAGACACTTTATTAGCATGATAAAACATTCTCAATATATGACGAGACATGTACAATAACATTTGTAGCCTCGTCTCTCACAACGCGTGGCTTAGCCATTCTAGTTGACCCTGATCTGTAAACGGATGTCGAGACTCGAGATGTCCTTTGGGGATTCACTAGCTTTACTGTTCTCACAGCATGTGGCCGCCTGTTTATTTGGAAAGCGAGTGAAGGGCTTGAAGGGAAAAGCTGAGCCAATGAGAGACTGTGTTCCACTGCAACCCAGGGCTTTGAGCTGAAGCATTGTAGTTGTTTATTATGTGAGATGAACATGATGAGTTAGCGGCTTGTGTTGTGGCCAAGATAGAGAATTTTGATAAGAAAACTAGTGAGACTGTTGATTCTAAATTGTAGGTTCCTGTTCAATAAGTAAATAACCTTTATCACAGCTTCATTGTTCAAACCTTTTTAACACTGTAAAACCACTTCACTCAATAGAACCAAACACGCTCCAAGACTTGACTTGCCGTGAAAACAAGTCTTGACAATCCACAGACATTGTTGAAGTTACCGACTTCAGGTGGGAACATGCCACCTCGAGATAGCTGTCAAATCACAGATGAGCTGTTTTAACGTTTTACTTGACAAGGGGCAGATCAAGGCCATCGACATTAAAACAGCTATTTAAAGTTTACATACTACAACAAAGTTATTTGTAATTGTATTGAATCGCATGTATCTGTACATATAGGAAAAATATCAATTAATGAATTGTGGAAGTGTAGTATTGATTGGGAACTAAAGCAATGTTTGGGTTTTAACAATTAGGGATTAACCTATAGGATCACTACAACTCATCGTTAAGCAAACTCTAGCGATAAGCTCAGTAGTTCCCCAAGTCACTCTGAAGTACTATTGCTTCCAGCATGGTGATTAGTACTATGTAGTGTGGGCCAGCCTACTTGGTGGTGGATGGCATTTTTCAAAAATGAAGTTACAAACTCACAGGTTAAAGGATACAAAATACTAATTAAAAATTTTGTTTCTTAAGTATTTTTAATGAACTTAAATTTTGAGCATTTAAAATGTTATTACAAAGTGACAATTTCAGAGTAGAATCCATCATATCTGACCTTGACATGCCCATGGTCAGAATGGTGAAAAGGTCAGATATGGGGAGGACAGAAAAAAATCTTTTTACACGTAAGAAAATACTGATTTAGGGAGGTGTATTCCCACTTTAGAGAGGGATTGTCCGCGCCTTATTTTGTAAATGCAAATGCTAGGCTAACATTGGTGGAAATTGGAGGTGATCCATACTGAAAGGCAGCAATGCCTCTGACGGAGACAGTTTAATTTTTGGAATTAATACTTTATCCCTTTTGCTTGTCAATATTACACACCATTCGTGCTACCATTGTATCATGGCCATGTTTTGATGTAAACAGATTTGCACTTGGAAAAGTTCAGATGATTGACAACAGAATTCAGCACAAACTCTGGAATTTTAAAAGCCTACAGGACAAAGGGCTCTCACGGCATATCATCCAATCCCACAAAGGCACATCTAGAGGATAAGAGCTTTAAATTTATTGATACCCAATATGCATACAAAAAAAAGTTTTAGTGGTCGATTTGCTGAATACAAAAATCCAAAAATTATTTTAATAATATAGATGTTAGGATATTTAGGTTGTTATTCAGTATCATTTTAGGATGAGGATTTGAATAAGAGTTTCATAGTTACCTGTATCTGCTCACCCCTTCCCCCAACCTAAGAACCAAAGCCCCTCTTAAGAATTTGAAAATTTGAATTGTCTTTGTGGATGGAGTTGGTGCATGCTGGATGACAGCACTGTTTAGTATAATGATTGTTAATATTGCTTCATAGTCAGGCTTGCCGAGCATCTTAATGGTTGTTAATGAAATCAAGTGCTAAGTGCTATACTCCATTTCATATTTACCAGAGAGCCTATAATCCATGTATTTCAGTTGACAGTTTCAATGATACAAGCTGTCTTAATAAATAACATTAGCCTCCTCGAGGATTTTACTTGTAACTACCCTTAGTTAAATGTACTAAAGTCAATATCTAAATCATCAAGACAAAATATTAATGTATTTTAATTAAAACATAAAAAGTAAGGAAATAATTAAAACATTTTTGTAAGGGTTGTTTCAAAGACGGTTGACACAAGCCACTTGACAACGTTGTGTTTCCTCCAGTATTGTTGACAGCATGACTGCTAACATATACGGTGAACGTAAAATTAAGGATAGGTAAGCAATAAAGTACTATCATCAGTTCATTCCTATCAATATTGCAGAATTTTTTTAACTCCAAAGAGTGGTTAGCCGGTAAGTGTTTTGGCATGTTGGTCATCTTGCTCTCTTATTACTTGTTAATCCTGAGCTTCATTTGTATTTCAACCAGTTGTAAACAAAATCTTGGGGTATTCACACACATAATATTAAAATGTTTAGCGTATTATTAATAATTTTAGAAGTAATATTTGTTTACTCTTCCTCGGAACGATTTAAGTAACTTAATTAAGTCTTTTCAACTTTGCCTGTTTCAGTTGAGCTATGCGCACTGCTATCATGGCCTCCGCAGAACCTAAGTTGGAGACTGCACCCTTTGACCCCCGTTTCCCCAACACCAACCAGACAAAGTAAGTAGTTTTGTGGCTTCAATTAGGGGGTTAACTGCAGTTAACTGATCAGTTGAACATCATACTCTAGAAAGAATGTAGTGTTCATAAACAATGAATGGACAGTGATGCTAGTTCTAGCTGTTTGATACAAGTGACACATAACAATATTACATAATTAAAGGTGTTATGAGATTAACAAATCGTGTATGTTGTTCTTTCCAAGAGGTTTTCATCGAAAAATATTCAAGTATAAAAGACGTCCTGATAGAGAGCGATGAGTTCAGGTACAACCGTACCCACCTCGGCTACCTTAGGACGTAAGGTATGGAGGTTCCACTGCTTTTAACATCCGTTCAGTTGACAATTTTTTTAACTTGGGCCCTTTAAATGAAATATAAAGTCAAAGTTGATTAAATTAATTTAATGGTGGCTTCTGTACACCCGTGAATTTGCGGGTAGAACCTCTTGTAACACATTAAAGACTAAGTAGAAAATAATTTATAAATATGTGGAGAGAATAAATACTTGTAAGATTTAAAACAAAAAAACATGGGTGCATGCAATAGACAGTATAGTTCAATTGATGAAGATAGTATTTGTAAATTAGCTATTGCATACGCCCATGTTTTTTGTTTTAAATCTTACAAGCATTTATTCTCTCCCCATATTTATAAATTATTTTCAACTTTTTAATCCGTTAAAAAATGTGATATTTTAAAAAGTTATTTTTATTTATAAATTATTTTCCCTTCAAAATTCTACTAAGAGCAGCCTATATTTCATCTATCCATGTAAAAATCACCTGTTTTTTAGAAGCACTATTCATCCACTCTATTTTCAGATTGTTTAATCACCAAGTTGTACGAGTATTATGTGTGTTTTAGATACTGCTACCAGAGCTACCTAGACTTCCACCGGTGCCGCAAGATTAGAGGGGAGAGCTACGAACCTTGCAACTACTTCAAGAAGGTGTTCACTTCCATGTGCCCGCACGGCTGGGTGGAGAAGTGGGACGATCAGTTGGAAGGTGGCAGTTTCCCCGGGAAAATATAAACATGTATTCCTACCTCTAGTACATTCTACAAAATAATAGATATGTTATTGTTGTGTTCATTAAAATTGAAATTTCATTTCGTTTCGAAGTTTCATTTTGTTAAATTGAATGAGTTTCTTACACCTTCAAAATGTATTATTTGAAACATTCAAAAAAATTAATTTTGTTATTGTTGCATCTAGTTTTAAAGAACCGGCCAGGCTTGTGAAAAATGTATGGAAATTTAAATAAATCTTTGATTTTTTGATTGAATATTATTTTGAATGTACTTTTGCCTTGAATTTATCTTGGCTATAGTCAAGTTGTAAATATAAAAATTAAGTTAACTGTTGACTTTTTTCTTTCATAAAACCTGAAGAGCTATATACCTTTTTTAATATGCTTACCACAGTCAACTATGGTAATTTTATTTTCCATATAATTTAATCAAGTGGAAAACAATATAAGTAATATTTTCTTTGTATAGTTCAGCAGAATCTCTTAATTAAATCAACAAATCTATATATATAATACGCGAAGCCGTATTTTGTTAACACAACTCCTCGGTTATTAGTGGACCAACTTCAACGTTTAAGGTGTCAAAAGATTCGTCTCAATATGTAGTTTTGCAATAAGGTTTTAGAACTTTAAAATTTCTACTCTCAAGGGCGTGAGACCCTCTCAAAGGTCGGGTTTTTCCCATAAGAAATACATTGAACAAATTTAAAAACAAAAAACAGCTGTTTATAAAAAGAAACGCATTAGCTCTTTGGGAGTAAATATTAATGTTTTAATATTCAGTAGGTTAAGACCAAGTTAAACAGTTAATCAGTTTTGTTGGAAGAACGGAAAATGCCTCAAGTTGAAAGAAGATTGAATACGGGAGGAGGAGACAATTAATAATAAGGTATCTTATGCGTATGAGGAGAGTAGAGAAAGAGAAGCCTGATCTAAAAGATACACATCCATATACACATGCACTTGGTGAGATGAATAATATTTGCCAGTTCTGCTATGCAACTTACTTTGGAAGTGAAAAAATATACTAAGCACATAGTGTTGTCACGGTTGTAAAATAAACTTGCCTAATGGCATATCAAATGAATGTATGCAAGAAATGTTTACTTATGACACTGACAGATCGAGATATTTCAAAACATTTATTAGAAACCATAATAATGCCTTGAGTTGATAAGTTCAAGTAGTAAGATTATATCAAATCTTGGCGGAATTTATGTTTTTTTGTAAACTTTTGTGTTACTCGCTCTACTTTAATTGAGGAAAACACAAATGGATTGTTTACTTCTAGGTTATGTTGCCAGTTCTTTGGACAAACGCCTAAAACGTTTTTTGACTGAATTTTAGTGGCAATATTAGACATAAGTGAAGGAGTTAGTGTTTAAGTATTCAACGATCAAATAGTTACAGTCAAGTTTATTTTTATGATTCAGGAGAGGCAAATAATATACGCTGTTCAAAAAGAGAAAATGAAAATTGCTATCCAAATCTTATAGCTACAAAAGTTTATCCAACCTATTTCGACAAATGAATCCATACTTTCAAAACTTTGTGACAGGTATTAAGAGAAACTCCGCTGAACAACGTGAGGACGTTCTGAAGCGGGGCATATACTATGAGTAACACACAACACGGTAAAATATGTTAACAAACTATCAATGGTGTTGCTGCTTTAGCCTATTCAAAGCATATTATGGCTTTCCAGTTGATAACCCAGAGTTCGTGGGTAAAAAATGGAGCACATTAAATGGTTGATATCACCCCACTTTTCAGGATTCTCTACGGAGAAAATTTGTTTGATTAGGGGGATGACTAGGCAACAGTTTTCTTTAATTCTCAATGTTGGAAAAACTTTGTTGCAACATGTTAGCTCGAATTGGAGCAGATCGTTTAGCATTCATTAGAAGCTATCAGTTAAAACTGAGAGCAGAAATAATGCAGGTGAACCTTGACGACGCAAATAGAGATATTTAAAAATAGTTTCTAACAAGTGTTTAAACAACTCTAAGATGTAGGCCTAACTAGAATTACTCTAATTTAAGCATAACGTTTTCGGTGCTATGTTTCATACTATGCGGCTCATTGAGCCGCACGGGTTCTCTAGTATTAAAATAATTCTTACATAATTTTTTGTAGTGTGGTAGTACGGTCAAAAACAAATTAGGTACTTAAACAATTTTTGCAGATTTATAGTAAAGGAGCATTAGATAAAAATTCTAACATTTAAAATCCCTACACAAGATATTTTTTTGTCATACTGCAAAGAGCCGTTTTTATTACATGTGTTGCAGGCCTAAAGTAGCATTTTTACTCCCTAGGGTAATAACGTTTTTAGACCCTAGGGAGTAAAAATGAGCTGTTGTTAACTAAGTTGTAAATTTCACGATTGCTTAATCGATTGAAGCTTATTGTTGCCTTATTGTAAATAGTTTGACATATCAATAGTGCACACTACGGTAACACAATTGTAATACCAGTAGACAAAACGATTGAGTTAAGTTGAAATGAAAACCATTTTAGTTTTCTAAAATAGTTTTTTTTAAAGTCACTTTAGTGATGAAATATACTATTGCCACTAGAAGCTCCTCATGTATTGAAATTCTATTATACAACCATGCATCTTTGAATATTGAGACTGAAAGAAACACAATCGCTGAGGCCATTCTTTCAGAACAATCCGAATAGGTGTTCTAATCAATTTATTTTTTAAGGCATAAACAAACTTAAACTGTAAAATGTTACCAGGAAAATTTGAGTATGCATACAATATTGCACTTTTATTGACCATAGTCTTCCTCGCTTTTTTATATTGTAATATTCACGCCAACCCAAATTCAAATATTAAACCAAGTCAGTAAATGTTTGTAGCAAACTGTTAAATTAGCAAACTTATTGACTGTTTACAATTAACATATGTTCTCCTTCTCACTTTTAATTTCTGACAACAGCTGGAGTTTCATAACAATGTTTCCCATGTTAATCTTATGGAGAAATACAAAACTTTAAAGGGCCCCAGGGCCTCACTCTCTAATTATTATTTCTCTAAAAAAGTTTCCTGTACAACTTCATGCTCTTTGCAATGACATTTCAATAAGAATGAACTCCAAATTTTCGGCCCCAATTGTCTCACTGGCCTCTCTGCTCGCCGGTTTCAGCTCGCCATTTCACGGGCCCCTGGGTCGCCTCCGCATTGCGAGCTCTTCTGTTACACCACTGAGCCAATCAATAGGTATTGAATTTGTTAACTGGACACTACATCTACTGTATACCAACGATCATTACACATTTCTACAACTTAGCTGCATCAAAGAGTAGCCAAATGTAATATTATTGTATATATATTATACGGTCTGGAAGAAATTAACAGACAAGATGTTGAAAAGAATCATTTTATTATACACTGATAGTACGGAAGACGTTGAAGCCACTGTTGGCAGTACTGATGATGACACCGAGCTGCTGAGGATGCCAATGGAGCTCCTTGACCTCTGTCTGACCTTGGTGAATAAACATCAGCTGAGGCGGCAAATCCTAGAGGACATCAAGTTAATAAAACAATTTCTAAGCCAAAAGGTGGAAACGTTTTCCTACAGTTACCTAAAAATATGTTTACCACACTACACTATTTTGACGAACTTCCCACACAAGGATTTAGTCCAGAAAACAGCTGTTTGCCGCCAGCTTAATCGAATGGGGTTTCATTGCGTACTACTGTAATGAGTTTTACCGGACACCAATGAGCTGATTATACTATATTTGGGTGGCAATGAGTGGTTATAAACAGAAACATAACCTCTCTTAGAGGCTATGACTAGTGATTTTTAGTCCTTTAGTTGGTGGTAATATATAAGGATTTGTACAGATTTAGTAGTATGGCGTAAACTATCGTACGTAACTCGTTCAAAATGTGTGTACCGGACTCGTATGGTAATCCCGTACTTGACTTCGTCTCGCACGGGAACGGCCACACTTGTCCGGTAAACACTTATTTTCAGGACTAGTAACATAATATACTATTTTATGAACAGAGAATGTAACAAAGAACACTAGGGTATAGGTTTTATATTACAGGTATGATTTTTGTGGGTTCACCAAAATAGCACAAGCATCTTAAAACTACACTGTAAACAAAGGAAGATACCCCCGCCACAGCAAACCTGCAGACTAAGCGAATTTCCATTTGACTGATTGGATTTACACTGAACTGTCTACTTAAAAATATAGCATTTATTCCCGATTTAAATAGAATTAGTTTAACAAGTACTTAGGTTTGCTGCATCAGGGAGGGTAAAACTGTTTTTTTTTTGTAAAATGTTAATAGTTAGTAAGAAATAAAAACATTTTCCAAATTTGATCAAAATATGTTCATAAACAAGCAAACTACAACAGTTTACTCATTCTCCATAAGAATAACATGGGAATTTTAAATTTACAATTTTTTGGAATTTTCTCCGTAACCATTAGGCGCATAATAACGCTTCAATATACTAAATTATTTGTTTTTTTAAGCTCTAAAAAATGGTTTGGAAATAAATTGCTAAATTTTGTGTTTTTTGGGTCAAAAATGGGAAAAACCTATTTTTACCCCATAAAACCCCCCGTAAACACCCGTTCCCATGGTCCGATCATGCTGGATTGCGAACTCGTTCGAATAAATGTAGGTTTACACGTTTGTACCAAATTTCATCAAAATCGGATCATTTTTGCTCGAGTTATCGTGCTGACGGACACATATATATATATATATATGAATTTGAACGGATGGTGTTTTTGGCCTCTAGGGACCTCAAAACGAAAAAAAAAATCGGTCCCGCGTCCAGGTCTTACCATGAGTACTACGGTAATAGCTTATTCCCTATATGGGAAATTCGCTAAAAATGCTTTTTCTTATGCCAGGGGGGGCTCTTTCCCATCTGGGTAAGTCTGTTATTTCCTCACAAAAATTCTTTTTAAGCTTCGACGAATATTAATATGTATATGGCATGCAAAATTTAACACACAATCATGAAAAATACAAATGGAAATTGAGATCCTATGTAGTTGGAGACATTAACTGCAGAGTATTACACGACTAACCTTGATTTCTGTGTCGGTGTCAGTATCATCTCGCTCCACAGCCAAGTCCCACAGTGATATCTGGTCGTCCTCTCCACCAGCTGCTAAAACGGAACTCTCACATGGCTGCCACTCTACTGTAGTGATAGGTGCTGAGTGATGCTTCAAGCTGGCCACAGCGCTCCCGGTCTGTGACAGAA